ATAGCTCATACAATGGTATTCAACCTCTGCACTTGAACAGGAAAGGGTGGGTTGCTTTTTAGCTTTCCAGGAAATGAGAGCAGTCCCCAAGAAGATACAGAAACCTGAAACAGAACGCCGGTGAATAGGATTGGAACCCCAGTCAGCATCACTGAAAGCTTCTAATTTGAAGGTACTATCACTGGAGTAGAAGAGACCTTGTGAAGAAGTGCCTTTTAGATACTTGAGAACATGAAGAAGAGCTGTCCAATGATCCTGACAGGGATGAGCTACATGGCACCTTAACTGTTGAACATCAAAGGAAAGGTCGAGGCGCGTAAAGTTCAAGTAGAGAAGCTGACCAACTAACTTTCGATAAGAAGAAGCATCTGGTAGAGGAGGTCCGGGTTCATCGGTGAACTGATGACCCTTAGGAAGAGGAGTAGTGGTTGGTTTAACACCAGATAACCCCACACTGGATAAGATGTGAAGGATATATTTCTTCTGAGTCATATACATACCTTCTGAATTCTTGGCAATCTCAACACCGAGAAAGTACTTAGCAGCACCAAGGTCTTTAATAGTAAACTTCTGATGAAGAAAAGACTTTACATGCTGTAATACACCCTCATTAGCCCCAGTAAGCAAGATGTCATCCACATACACAGCTAATGCTGTAAAATGACCACGAACCTTTCCGGTAAACAAGCAGGGATCATTATGTGATTGGACTAACCCTAAAGTGGTGATCTTACTAGTAAATTCTAAGTTCCATTGTCGTGAGGCCTGTTTTAAACCATACAGAGATTTGCGTAACCTGCAAACCCTAGTATCAGAACTAGGAGGATAACCAGCTGGGGGAATCATAAAAACTTCTTCATCAAGATTGCCGTGTAGGAAGGCATTGTTGATGTCTAATTGATGCAGATTCCAATGAGAAGCAGCATCAATAGCTAACAAAAGTCTAACTATTACAACTTTTGCAATAGGAGAAAAACTATCATAATAATATTCCCCTTCAATCTGATTATAACCCTTTGCAACTAGTCGTGCTTCATATCGATCCACAGTCCCATTAGGGTGATTTTTGACCTTGAAAACCCACTTACTGCCTATAGCTTTCTTGCCTATAGGAAGATCAGTCATTATCCAAGTCTTGTTATTTTCTAGAGCATCAAGCTCAGCCTGCATAGCAGCAACCCATGCTGGATCTTGACAGGCTTGAGCATAAGTCTTAGGTTCTACAACTTTCTCTATATTGGTTAAAAACCCAAGATGCTTATCAGAAAAGTGAACTGAAGAGGATGAAATAGAGGAGGAAACTTGAGAAGATGTATCGGTAGAAGATTTCTGAACTAAACATGCTTTGTAAGTGATAAAATCATCAAACTTAGAAGGTGCCTTAGAAATTCTGGAACTTCTTCTTAGAATGGGAGGATTGATAACCTCTGATTGTCTAGAAGGCAAAACAGGAGGTTGTGTAATCAGATCAGAAGAAGGAGTATGAGTAGTAGTAGGTGAGGAAGACGGAGAAACAGGACCAGGAACAAGTGTAGGAATGTGTTGAGATAGGGAAGGAGATAAAGCAGACCAATCATCGTAGTAAGAGAAAGGAGAAAAAGAAGAATCAGGCTGAGGTAAAGAATCTGTAGGCGTAATATATGGAAATGTAGTCTCATGGAAGACTACATCTCGGGAAACAATCACCTTGTGTGACTCTAAGTCATATAACTTGTAAGCTTTCTGTCCCATTGGATAGCCAATAAAGACAGATTTGACGGCTCTAGGAGAGAATTTGTCTTTGCGAGGGAATATATTGGTTGCATATGTAAGGCAACCAAAAACTCGGAGATGATCAAAAGTAGGGGGTTTATTATGTAGGATTTCATAGGGAGTTTTCCAGTTAAGCAAAGCAGACGGTAAACGATTAATGAGGTAAGTTGCTGTAAGGATGGCATCACCCCAAAACTGAATAGGTAAGCCAGATTGAAGAAGAAAGGATCTGGCAATTTGTAATAGATGTTTATGCTTTCTCTCTACAATGCCATTCTGTTAAAGAGTATATGGAGCTGATTTTTGATGCAAAATACCTAAATCAGCAAGTAAGAGTTGACATTCTTGGCCAGTGAATTCTGAGCCATTGTCAGATCTTAGAATTTTCACAGTTTGATCAAACTAATTGATGACTAGTTTTAGGAAAGCAGATAGAATAGTAACAGTTTGTTGTTTGGATTGCATCAAATAAGTCCATGTGGAACGGCTAAAGTCATCAACCAAAGTAAGAAAATAAAATGCACCATGCAGAGATTGTGTTTATAGGGACCCCAAATGTCTACATGTATCAGCTCAAGAATTCTAGATGACTGTATAGTCTTTATAGGAAATTTCAACCTCTGCTGTTTAGCAAGAGGACAGACATTACAGGGATTATTCTTTGAGTTTCTAGATAACAGTCCTAGTTTGGAAATTACTGCATCTGGTACATGACCAAGCCTGTGATGCCAGAGTACATTATTATTGTCTGAAACTAGTTTAGAGGGAAAAAAATGATCGATCTTTGGCTGAATCACAAAAGGCTGGAAGATATGATGTGAATAAACTCTGAAATGGCCTCTGATAAGAAGGAATTTTTGTCTAGGTAATAAAGCTTGTTGAGGACCTTTCCAACTGCTATGAGTTGTTTAGTCTCCTGGTCCTGCAACAAGCAGAAATGAGAGGAAAAATAGCAATCAATGTGAGAATCAGTGGCTAGTTTATTCACAGAAAGAAGGTTATACTTGAAGGTTGGTATGTGTAAGCATCCTGAAATCTTTAACCCATCAGAAAGTTGTACAGTACCTATATGCTCTACATGCTTAACACTTCCATCCAGTAACAACACTGGTGTATACTTAGTCACAACAATACAACTACTTAACAATTTCAGAAAAGCCACCATATGCCCTGTAGCTCCAGTATCAAGAAACCATAACCAAAAATACTTATTCTCAATCAAACTTATAGTACTCAATGCTGCATAAGTGGTCATACCTGAGAAGTCGTGATAATGAGCAAAATTAGCATGTTCTCCTTCTGATGCTGGCAGCTTTCCTTTCATCATCTTCATCAAGTTGTTCATCATCATCATCATCATCTCATCTGTCTGATTGCTTCCTTGTACCTTATCAAATTCTGTAGGACATCTACTGCATTTGCTGAGTTCCTAATATTCAAAGACCTTCGTGTGTCTTTGTAACTTTCCCACCAATTAGGATACCCCACCAACTGGAAGCATTCACTCTTAATGTGTCCAGGCATCTGACAATGATCACACTTCAGTAATTTTCTTGATGCTTTTTCCTTTCTCCAGTCATTCTCTTTGCCAAAGGAAACCACAACCTTCCCTGTGATAGTTCCTGTAACAGTAGACTTCATTGATGTCCTATTACTTCCATTCATTATTCCAGTGTTATAAGTGTTTCCAGGAGTATTGTAAACCTTACTCTTTCTCTGTACCATCATAGCACTTTGCTCAATGTTATCTCCAAAATGTCATTTCACCATCTATTGTTTCTCAACATTTAACATCATAGAATATGCCTTTTTAACCTCCGGCAGAGGATCCATCATCAAAACTTGACTCCTATCTGCATTAAAGCTATCATTTAAACCCCTCAAAAATTCCATCAACTTGTGCCTATTCTCTCGGCTATCATTTCTGGTCAGCCTACAATTACATCCGTTACAAACACATTTATCCGGTGGATCAACATACTGAAGTTCATCCCATAACCTTTTCAATTTAGAGTAATATGCTGCTAGACTCAGATTTCCTTGACTAATAGTGGTCACTTCTCTATGCAGATTATAAATCTGGGGTCCATTCCTAGTTTCGTAACTTTCCTTAAGTTCTTCCCACAATTCACAGGCATTCACAGCTAAATCATAGTTTTCAACAATTTCAGGAGAAATAGAATTCAAGATCTAAGCAATTACCATATCATCAACACGATTCCACTGTTCACGATCTGGATTTCCAATCGGCGGCTTTGCCACCTCTCCGGTAATGAATCCGAGCTTATTCCTTGTTCCCAATGATCTTCGAATCGCATGACTCCAAGAAATGTAGTTGACATCTGTGAGCTTCGTCAACACAATCGTTAGAGATGCCGTATCAGATGGATGAAGAAACAGCGGATGATTATAACCGCTGCCATAACTTTGCACTTCTCATCCTCTCTTTGTTGCTCCTCAAACCAATCTCCAGTTCGATCCGCTGCCATTTTCTTCAAATTTCAATTGTACGATCTGAATTTATTTTTCTAGGGTTCGATGGTCAAGAACTCCAAGAACTAAAATGATTTAACTAATTCGTAACAATTCCAGTACAGAACAGGCTTTTACACCTGCTCTGATACCATCTTGAGTATCAGATTCAGCAAGCGGAAGCAAAAGCTAAGAAAAATGTGTTTGGATTTAGGGTTTCATGAAAAACAAGTTTCCGTGAAGTATATTCTGTGTGTATTGTCTCTCAAAATCTGTACAGGGATAATAATACATTAAAGATATATACTGTTGTCTAAAATAACTACTGCTAACTACTATTTACATATTTGCCTCAGTACTATTCATATTTATACAAAAGACCCTCTCTACTAGAACTAATATATGTACAACTAAAACCAGAATCTTATCCTGGATCAACATCCGATTCTTTCTGTGAATCCTTCTCAGAATAGTCTAGAACAACAAAATCCTCTGCAAGGAAATCATGATGGATTTAGCGGATGATGAGAGTCCACAGAAGCGTCAGATGTGTTGGGATGACATTGTTTCAATAGATCGGATAACCAATTTACCAGAAGAAATTATTACCCAAATTATATTGTTCTAGTGGTAATGAACACGACTTAGGGATGAAGGGGAGTATCTTTTAGTAATATTGCTTAATGGTTAGCATATCAACTTCAAATACCAATGAGGCAATGAGATTTTCATTTTCTACTTGGAATGAAACAGCAAGTATTGTGCATCTATGAAATCAAAAGAGTAGCAGCTCAGGAATGAATTAAATTTTGCTCTTTTCACTTCATGGAATAGTAACATAATCATAGATTACATAGAGGAATTGGCATTTATATAAAGTTGATACATCATAAATTAGCAATGAAGTATTACATAATAATAAGAAGCTACAAGCAACAACCAAAAAACAATGAAAATTAAAAACAATAATTGTTTTTCCTTTATTTTTTCTTTTTGCTGATGATCACAAAACTCTTGCAAGAGGGCTGCACTCTGTATCATATATATGTTGCGCCAAACCCATGCTGATTAAAAAAGATTACTCTAACTCATTCACCTGTTCTGATGCCTTGTGTTATGATAAAAAAAAAAAATGTCTGTTAGAGAGAATGATATAGCTAGGCAAGCCTCCAAAATGTTGTTTGTTTTACAGTGTCCCCAAAGAAAAACAAATTGGTGGTGTAAAGGAGCTTATGGGGTGTATGGTTTTGGTGGTGGCATGCCCTTGACAATACCGCAGAGGAGAGAATCATCGGGGATGTTGTATTCATCTCTGAGTGAGTAATTTGGTGAAAGCACACTGAAGTAGAATTGCTGTCCCAAGTACTGCCTCTCCAACGATGTTGACCTCAAATTCCACATTCCGGCATTGTCCAATGTCAGCATGATTGCCGACCATGATCCTGGGTACACCTGGATTGTGTTCCTGCTGATTGCGTCCAGAAGATTGTAGTTCTTCCTCTTCTCTGGTGTCCAGGTTCCGGGCTCCGTTCTGTTTTTTTTTCCCATCAAATTTGATCCACATTGTCAGCAAAGTTGGGGGGGCGAAAAGACACAAATTCAGGAAATGAATAATCAAATTGACTTACGCGACGGCGAAGAAAGAGTATCCGTCCAAGTGCCAGGACTGGATGCTCTTTTCGTGGTTCTCGAAGACGATCTCAACGAAGTTGCGGAAGGTGGCATTGACGACGTTGGGAGCGAGCTTGATGGCGACTTTCTTTCCGGTGACGGAGGCCACATCGGGCTGGTCCAGCATCAGGTTGTACTTGAACACTTTGTCTGCGGCTCCGAAGTACTCAGCGAGCTTCACTGGGGTCTCTCCGTCAACGTGGGAGATGCCGTTGACGGCGTAACGGAGCTTGGAATCGACTTCGCCGGCCGAGTTATAGATCTTGATTGTGCGGGTGATGTTGATCTGTCCGTAGTGATATGATCCCTGTGGGTTAGGCCTGGCTGCGCTGGCTGTCAAATTCCACCTGAATGATCGGAACTGGTTCATCGACCAAGCGATTCCGTTGGTTCCGGTCGGGGCAGTCGGAATCACGTCCGAAGCAGGGCCCTTTCCGCCAATGTATCTGTTTAAGTAAAACAATAGTACAATAAAATCAGGAAAAAAGATTGGAAAAGAAATGTTACAAAATGTGATGAATTCTTTCTTCAAAGTTTAATTACCTGATGGTGGCTGTGGAAGTAAGAACTTCTTTGGTGAATCGGGTTGAAGCAACAAAGAAATAATCTTTTGGTGCCTGATCAGCGGTGACCAAAACAGAGATACATTGTCCCAAATGCACATCCAGGGAATCATACATATTCTGAACAGTGTGTGATCCTTCGATCTCAACCAGCTTCATCTTGTGTCCCTGGAATCTGAAATTCAGGGAATTCTTCATCCCAACATTGCAGACTCTGTACCTGTAAGTCTTTCCAGGGGTCATGTTGAACATGGGCGCATCGGCTCCGTCTCCCTTTCCGAATTTCCCGTTGATCAAGACGCCATCGGGTCTTCCCAACGCCGACCCGCTGTCCAATTGCTTCTTCAGCGCAACATGGCTCTTGCTGTACCAATCGCCGGCCATGATGGTGTAATCGGCCTCAGGGGCGTCGAAGGGGACGGGGATCAGGTCACGGCTGACGACGGTTAAAGGGCCGTAGCCTCCGGCCGCGCGGTGCAAGGAGGTGGTGGGGTAGTAATAGTAGCTTCCGATCTGATCCTTGACCTGGAAATGGTAGGTGAAGTTGGTGCCAGGGGCGATGGGACAATTGGTGCCCAAAAGGCCTTCTTGCCAAGAATTCTTCCTCTGTTGGATACCATTCCATGTGAAAAGGAGAGGCTCATCAAGGTTGTTGAAGACGTTAACGACAACGTTGTTGTTGGAGGTGCCGTTGATCCGAGGACCCGGGAACTGGCCGTTGATCAGAATGACTTGCTGAGGGACACCCAATGGGGAAAGGGTGCCATAGCTCACATTCCAGGTGTAGAACAGGTATGGATCTTCGGCGTTAACAATCAATGATGCAGAGAGGCCGTACAGAAACACCGCAAGAGTAGCAACCAATGATATTTTCCTCCTATCCATTTGGGGGTTGGGGGAAATTTTTTTCATTTCTCTTTTTCTTTTTTTTTCTTTTTTTGGGTGTTTTCTATATTTTTTCTGTTTTTTGGGGTTTTTTGGTTCCCTTTATGCTCTTCAATCTGTGCCTCTACTGAAGGAAATGGATTGAGCCCTCTTTATAAGAGGAGTTTGATGATGAGATTTTGAAGGGGGAGGGGAATTAAGGAATGGCCATAATTTTTTGGAAGCTTGTAATGGCCGCATTCAGCGTTCACTCAGTCATTTTTTTTGACGTTTGTTTTGAGCTTTTTATTTTTATTTTTTGGGGGGCCAAATTGCGTATTTGGCTGTTTTTAGGCTTTTTGACTGCCTTATTTTCTGCTAACACGGAAATGACACAATTTCCTCTCCTTTTCTTGAGGATTTGGCTGTTAAATTTTCTATTGTTTTAATGTGAATCCACGCAGTTGTCCCATGGAATTTTGGTAACAAAATAACTAACTTTTTTCCCTTCCTGTTTCCACCTTCATGAACCATGATTGAAGGAATAAAGGGTTAAAAAAGAGAAATAAAATTATTTGGAATGATTTATCCTAATCATATTAATTTACTTATTATTCCGTATTAGATTCACTACCTAGTCATTAAATTTTAATGCCAGATTTTTTTTCTTTTGGTCATAAGCGTGTATACAAACGGAGTACGCGTCAACTGAGGTTTGAAGTTAATTAAACTCTGAACCAATTTGAGCCAGCTCATTGACAAATCATGCAGAAGTCAAGCCCAGCCCATAGGCCATAATTTCAGATTTGCTTAATTATGGTATACCAAAAAAAAAAAATAAAAATGGTATACATACATTTTTTTTCCCAGTAAATATTCAGTGTATCCACTATCCTCTTTAGTCTGAATAAATTGGTGGATTTACAAACGCTGAGTAATTTTCCATTCACTTATTATTCAAATGGAGTTGTAACTTCTAATTCAAAAAAAAAAAACCAAACGTATACCTTTACGCACATAGAAAATGTAATTTTATTGCGGACTGTTTAACTAGTTTGGCGGAGACGAATCCAGGACTTAACCGACTGGATTAGGCTCTTCCACAAGCCCGCTTTTGGTTGTACCACGACGTTATAGGGGTTTCCTACCCCCGCCGTGTTGTTGTAAATCATGACTAAGGTGTATAATATCATTTCCCTTTTGATAAAAAAAAAACACACACACACACACACATTTTACTAAGCTAATCAAAACAAACATTATTTGTTATACGAAATTAGCTTTTTCTTTTCTTGTAATGCTTTATAATTAGCAAAATTGAAAGAAAGACTAATTAACAAAATTGTGGCACCTATCTCTCTATTACATGGTCAGGGAAGGGCAGCTTCTTCCCCTAAAAAAAGAATCAAATCAAAAGAACTCAACTTGAAGATGCCAGCTCAGTATTTGACACATTTTGCTCATCAAAAATGTCACCAGATACCGCATTAGGTATTCTATGGCGTTTCAATATACGAGAAGTGGCTAATTTTGCCTTGCTATAATTCAAAACAATCACCCTTTCATCATCTAAATCAAATCTTATATTATCTTCTTCGCAATCTTCCACGAGTTGCCGTAAATGTTCCAAGTTTAACACCTCCACATTGTTAACTTTCTTCACCTGCTCAACAATTTGAAGAACATCATTTCAACAACGGATCAGGTTTTACAAATGCAAACAGGAAAATGAAAAAAAAAAAAAGAACCAGCAAACTGTTTCCTGTATCCGACTGGTTCACTATTTTTTACAACAAACGGGAATGCAGACTAAGAGAGATCTTGTAGTCGCACAATACTGAGCTCTGTTTTGTTGCTAACTTATGCAGCTTTTTATGAGATTCATTTCGAAGAGGCTATGAAGTGTGATCAAAAGTTAATGAATGTAAAGTAAGCATCATCAATATGAAAGGATGAGTACACAAACATGAAAGAAAAGTGGAAACTTTTTAGCTGCTATGCATGCCAAAGCAGATAATGCTCATGAAAGGTAAGTCCCTAGAAATGTTGCTTTCTTGCTTCCATACATCAAATCAATGCAATTTGCTTTGAAATTATAAGCACTTTAACGGAGCGAAAGACGGAAGACAAAAGGAACTTCTGTGACTGGGCATTTTAAACAAAGTTACAGCCACTGTACCTGTAACTCCGCTAGGCGCTCATAACCAGTGTTGATGTCATCAATGAGTACCTAAAATCAAACAGTTTGCTTAGTGGAGAGGGAAACTCATAAAATTTTAAAATACACCATATTTTCTTTTCCAGGATTTACAATTTGCAAAGAAAAGCTGAATACATGATGTATATCTCAGTCTATCACCATGGTGCACGCAGATAAGATACGTCATGGGGACAACAACTACAGCTCAAAGTACTTATCAATAACATTGCTAAAAGATGGCCAGAAAGCAAACTTTCTGTAATGTTTATGTTATTTATGAATGTACACTGAATATGCCTCAGCCATATAATCTAAGAATGATTGTCATGGCTTAGTTTTAGTACAACAAGAAAAACTGCACCAATCCTTTTAAATGTATCAAGAATATAACATGTGATTGCTTTGCATTCACTGCCCTCGTTAAAAAAAAGATTTCAACAAGCCAAGAGGATTACTATACATGTGGGGCCTGGGGCTGGGTTTGATTACTTGAAAATGTAAACTATTTTGAAGATTAAATCCCTAAAAGCTTGTCTCCATAGAACCCATCTTCCTTTGAATTTTACCAAACATGCATTAGTGGGAACATTTTACAATCGAGATTCAGCAAATTTATATTGATTTACAACATTCGACAGCTCCAATGTCTAGAGATTTAAAATCACACCTGTGCCCCCCAGGTCCTAAGCAATTCATTTGAGCTTCTGGCATACTGAAATGGTGCAGGGAATAGAAAAAACTAGCAGAAAAGAGGACCAAGAGCAGAACCCAGCAGCTTGTTAAAAGCTAAAGACAAATTTTCTTTTCTTTTCTTTTAAACTTAGCTTTGAGTCAAGGAAACTAAAGTTAACTTATTAAGTGAAGCAAGCTCCTAAAAAGAACAGCTAACACATCACAAAACGTGATGGTTTATAAGTACCATCCAACAAATCTTCTCATGAATCTGGATTCAAAATGAACTCAACAAATGACCATAATTTCAACAAATTCATCCATATTATCGAAATTACAAACACTCATTCTGCCTTTCTCCTCCCCTTTTCTACAAGGCAAATTTTTCCTTTCCTAACAAGCAAATGGCTGCAATATCATTAGCAAATAATTTGGTTATTGAAGATCTGGAAAAAGGGAAATTGGGAGACCATAAAAACCTGAGAGAGAATGACGAATTGTTCACCGGCCTTTTTGGGTAATTCCCTTAGGGCTGCTTCACACAATCTACGAGGGGATGTGTTGTACCAATCTTCTCCATATTCATGAAGGTAGGGTTGCGTCAAGGGAACAAAGACCAGACCAGCAAAAATAAAGTAGCTCGGGAGCTTATCAAATTGATGGACTGGAACCAGTGGCTGCAACTGCATCATAAAAGTTCCAGCCATGATGAGTTTCCGGATGAGAGTTCTACAAAGAAATATCTAGCAAACAAACCTATGCGCATGTACAATAAAAGGGGTGAACGCCTATATACAAAGATCAAGTTCATAAATCATTCCATTTTTCCCCAGCCATGATTAAGAATGCAACATACATCAGCGATGTTGTGTTCTTAAGAGACAAAATCACTATGACTGGTTGATCAAACTTTCACAGGCTACAGAGAGTAGCTTGATTACACTAAATTGGGTCAGAAGCAAAAAAGAATGCTGCTAAGTGGTACAGGGGTAGAAATAGTTTGATTCATGCTGTCAGGTCTTTTAACATGCATGATATGACTACATAAACACTGATTCTAGCAGGTTCAGTCATTATAAAGAACTTAAATCGCCACAAGAGAAGCATATGCATATAGCTTGAGTGATATTGGAACTTAATAAAATGTAAAATATCTAAGATGCAGTCATGCAGCAACAAAATGAATCCATTTATGTTGCAAAGGGTTGCAGTAACTTACTGGTCTAAGGACAACATTGAACTCATGCTCTTCACCATTCCTTAACACCTTGAGTGCAGCACTCTCATTTGGTTTCTTCATGGAAACTAAATGATCAAATGTAATCCGCTCTCTGTTTCGGAAAGGAACTGTAGAAGAGCAATAGAAAATTGTATAAGCTCATAAGTTGAGTCATTCACCCGGTTAGAAAAGACTTCTAGATGGTGTTAACAATATCAAGCAATACATTCAAGAAAGACTAGCCCAAGATTATGTCTGGGGGCTACAACTACGCAAGCCTAAGAAACACTGAATCTTGCTACAAACAAAACAAGACAAAAAAAAAATGCACGTTATGGTACTAACACAACAACAAGAAACATGAATAAGCCTTAATCCCAATACTGTAATATCAACTCTTAACTTTCACCAAAGAGATATTTTTCCCAAACCCCAAAAGACCAAACCTCTGAAAATGGAAGACATTGCAAAAGTATCATAATTCTACAAGCACAACTGAAGATGTTCCGTCCCATCATGGTAACTCTCAATTCAAACTGATCGAAAACTATGTTTTTCTTTAAAAACAAATATCCTAAACATTGCAGAAACTGTGGACCTTTTTGGATTCGATACAGTTAGCAATCTAGTACAAGACTATGGTATGTTGCACTAACACAGCACCATGCACGCTTCGTGTCTTTTCACCCAATAACAAAGCCTTATCCTTTGATAGGAATGGGCTTTGGAACGACATTTGGTTCCGATTCAGATAAAACTCAGAAAACAAATGTACTTCAAAAGAAATGTGTGTTATCAACCATCCTCTGACCTCAAACTCAAACAAATACATAGATAAATACATAAAAATTGTACCTGTTCCATCATTTGCAATGGGTATACCATCAAATGAGAGGATAATATCATCTTTCTTCAAAACTTTGTGTGCCTCGGAGAGTGGATTAATCCTGTTAACCATCACTCCTGTCAAATCTGGCCTCATTTGAAAGTTTTCCCGAAGTTGTACATTTTCAGTGGATTGACATGACAGACCCAGGGAGCAGAATCCTTTATAGTTTCCACTTTCTTCAACACCAGCTATGAAATGTTTTATCACAGGGACAGGAATGATGTATCTGGAAAACATTTAAGACAAAAATTAGAAACTGATTTCAATATATAAGCATCTCATATCAAATTCAACTTCATGCGAATTTCAATACAAAGAAACAACTTGCATTATGTCACTTGAGTTATAAGATTTTTGGAAGACAACTTTTAACTCTAGTCTACAACGCAATGACTCTAATTTAACAAGTAATGTGTCCAAGTCTGTCATTAAAACTCTCAGATAGCAGTGAAGTCCGAATAGATATTCATGGGAGACCCCATCACTAGATATCTCTTAATCAGGCGATTGAGCACAAGTCTATAAACTCACCCAATGTTTTCTGCGCCTGACAGATTTTGGAAAGCCACCCCAGCAACTTTATCGCCCATGATTGCTGGCCCTCCACTATTCCCTGGATTAATAGCAGCATCAATCTGAATCGCCAACAACTGCGTTGCACCATGTACATACTGTGTTGGTTCAACTCTAGAAACAACCCCTTTCGTAACAGAAATGTTATCACCTCCTGGAGTCAGAAGAAGCCACAAATTTTCTTTTAGAATCATGGCTACATTCATTCGACATGTCATTGTAAATCACTTTGTTCCATCTATTTTACTTATGTGCCATTCACATGTTTACCTTGGGGATAACCAACAACAGCCACAGCTTCTTGAAGATAGGGAATTTCACCAAACTCCAATGGATTCATATCCTCCCAGAACTCTTCATTTTCCACAACTAGAATAGCTAAGTCACAATCATGACCAACAGCTTGAACTTCAGCCCTGTATTTAGTAGGCGAACCATGTTTCCTCACAAGCACAAATGTGTGATCGGCCACCACATGAGCATTTGTGAGGATTCTCTTCCCGGATATAACAAAGCCTGCAATGAGCCCCAATTACAATAATCGATTAAAGAACATACATTCACACTCGGATCCAAGCAATACAAAATGAAAAATATGAAATTCGACCATCGTGACAGCATTGATTGTACATGCTTACGCAAGGAAACGTAATTGCAACAAAATGACATTGTAAGATTGTACACATTTGTAACAATTTGAGTCGAGTCCATATTACAAGTATCATGAACTGATGGATGCAACAAAATGACTAATGGGCAAATTTTCCACATGTTTATTAAACACAATTCAGCTGACTCGTACATACCAGAACCCATTGTCTCGCGCTGTGACTTGTTCTGCCATGGAAGATGATAGTTAGGGCTACTTGTAACAGTAAATATCTTCACCACAGAATCCAATGCCAACTCTATTGCTAAAAAGGCCGAAAGAGCTTCCCCGTCTAATCCAGTTCTCAACTGCGGCGAGACCTCTGTTTGCAGCTCTAGCTCAACCGAATCAGCTTCAGAGGAAGCCTTTTCAATGCTCAAGCCGGCGCCGGCGATGGTGGAGTACGACGACAGGGAGTACCGTGAAAGCCGCCAGAAATTGCAGTTATTAATGCCATTACTGTAACTTCGGAAACTGTGAGGGGCCTTCGCGAAAGAATGAGAAAAATGAGAAACAAGAATTTGGCGGTAATGGCGGCGGTTCAGAGACCGGAAGGCACGGCCAGCCGCCGAGGAGCCAACTCGAAGCATCTCTCTCAACCTGCAGCAGCAACAAAATTGGCGGAATTAGTTTAAAAGGCCCAAAACCCTCCGGTTGAATTTCACTTCAGTTTATGAGGTTTGAGTAAATGTCAATTTTAGCCCACACAATTTTGAATATCCCCATATTTCATATTTGTCTTTCATATGGTTTGAGTTGATATTTCTCAGAATAACAATCTCATGGACTTAAGATGTGCATAGCACAAGAGAAATTGATTAATCAATCATTAGTTGACAATTTCATAAACCTAGTCCATTTTGCATAATTTTTAGAACATTACTCCATCTTCTATAGTCTCAACTCTAAAATATAAACATAGTTACGAAAATCAATGTTATAGAATATGAAATATTGAAATGTAGTTAGCGTACGTAGATTATGAAATCATCATTTCGATAAATTTCATAAACATTACCAATGTAGTTTACGTGTCTTAATAAATTTTACTTTCTCAATCAAGTGTAGTTAACGTAGAAAATTAATTAAAAGAAGTGATGTATGAATTTTTTTTTTTTTAAACAAAAAGCTAAAATGAATCGATGGAAGCTAAATGAGTGGCTAATGCTTAATGGAGGCAAGCTTGTACTCCCTCAGTCCTGAAATTATTATCCAGTTTGAGTTTTTATTTTTAGTTCAAATTATACTAAAACTAAAATCTACAGCCTATGTCCCTACAAAGCTCTTTATATCAGCAATACATGTCATGTCCACAGGAATTATCGTCGAGCCTTTGGGAGAATTTGCTGGATTTTTGTCGAATGCATTCCAACTCTTCTTGAATGGTGGGTGGAGACTTCAATGTAATAAGATCTCTGGAAGAAGGGCACTTCTATTCGAGATTATGCATCCATTGAATAGTACGAGACAAACTAGTTGGGTTAGTCAGAAATTTGATAGAGTTCTTCTCGCTTGTGAGTGGCTAAGTGTCAGTAGTCTAGAAAATGAACCTAATTTTGTTAAAGGAACCATCATCGAGAAAGTACGAAAAATATTTGTCTAAATGTGAAACTCTAAAGAATGCGAAAATCATAAATAAACAGGCAACTCAATTATAGAAAATACTATCTTATGAACTCTTAGTAAGATAACAAACACAAAATTCAAATAATTACCCAGATTAAATAATCAAATCAACTATGATTAGACCAAACAATATAATCGAACAATCACCCATATAATTGATGATACATGTAAAGAACAAATCACTCACTCAACTACAAACAAACCACTCGAAAAAAAAAAACATTATTCATCATGCTATTTCCAAGCAAACTCATGTATAGAAATAGATAAACCTACAAGCCTTTCATACGACCTAAAGTCACAATACTCGAACAAACTAAGCAATCAAACATGCTCAACCTATTGACTATTACATCAAAAGATAATAAGAAAATTAGTTTTAAAACAATTAAATCATGCAACATGTTCAACATAATAAAACGGTTTACTCAAAGAACCAAGTTACACGTTAGGCATGGTGGAATAAGGGTTGTTTTTCAATGGCAAAAAAAGTTGTGATTACAGCACTTCCCTCTTACATTACTTGGGAAATATGGAAGGGCCAAAACAGGGTAATGTTTGAGGGAGGACATTTTTAACATGTCAAGTTATTGAGCGAATAACTAATAGTATAACTGATATGTTGTGAATATATCCTCTGCCGGTAAAGACAGTTGTGAAATCTGAATTTTTGACTCGGAACTTTAGCATCCAAGGTTGTAAAAAGTTGAGGAGAAGGTTTATCTCTATTTGCTAGAATCCGCCAAAGCCAAACTCTTTCATTTTGAATTCGTATGGTTCTTCAAAGGAATAAAGAGGCTGGTTATGGGTTTGTCATCCGTGGTGGGGGGGAGGGGGGGAGCCTTTATATATGGAGATATATGTAGGAGAGGGGGATAGTATGGATGCTGAAATCTATGGCCTTTTGTTTGATTTGAGAAAATGTGAGCTCTTAGGTTTGATGAATGTTTTAGTGCAATTCGATAACAAGGTAATGGTTGAAATTTTGAACAAGAAAGGGAACTATCCTTAGAGGTATATCTCTCCTCTTGCGGAGATTAGTGTCATCTTGAAGCGAAAGGCTTTTTCAATATTAGATATTTATCCTGAGGCAAATTCTATGGTGGATAGTTTGGCCAGGATGGTATCTGAGGGTAGCTCATCGATCTTTCAAGTTCAGTCCACACTCCGTTTTGTAAAAAAATGTCTTTTGATATTAGATCAAAGATATTTCTCATATTTCCGTAGTCGTCTTGCTTAGACATTCTATGTATTTATACTTTATATGGGTAAGTTTTATACACTTCTTTTGTTCTTTTTGTTTATGAAGCAATAATAACGGGGGACATACTCCTCAGGTACCGCCCTGGTTAACCCCCCAAAAAAAAGTTAGGCATGTCATAGTAACTTTAGCTTTGGATGTGAAAATCATAATCCTATTAAAAGAGAAGATACATATCTCGTTATTGCAATTTCCAAAATGGAGGCATTAATACATAAAAAAAAAAAAAAAAGAGGAAGTTCCAATCTCACCAGACAAGATTAAGTAGTTGTACAACATGTTAATAATTTGGGTCAAACTCACGACTCCAGTGATTTCGAAATTGCCATTTGTCTTTGATTCAACAGCTTTAATTTATGGCTTTGTCCATTAGTTTTTGAAAAATAAAAATACGCTACCAACTTGTGATTTCCAAGTTGCCGTGATAGCTAGCTTTTTTACTCAGTTCCTGTAAAAGATGCTGTTGATAACTTGGTATTTGTCTTTGATTCAACAGTTTAAATTTATGGCTTTGTCCATTAGTGTGGTAACTTATTAATTAAAAAGTGGTCATGCACCTTCAAGATTTTCTATAGATTTAAAATCATGCACTACAAAAACTACAAATTGAATTATGAGAAAAATTGCTTCCAACAACATGAAATATGGGATTTTCACTGATTAATAAATGCATTATTAATCATTTCGTCATTACAAAATCAGAAGTAATCAAACCCTTCTTTATAGTTTTTTGCTATATACTCGTTCTGGTCCTAATTTTAAGGTATTTTGATTTGTCCAAAATTTCATTTAGTATGATCTTCCAATTGAAAATAAAATCTTAAAAATATTTTTAATAATTTGAAGAACACAGTAAATGTGAAATTATATTTTTAATTTTTTTTCTAATTAGAAGAACATAATAAATGAAATTTAGGGCAAATCAAAATACCTTAAAATAATGACCGGAGGGAGTAATATCTTTACTTTCGTGACATTTGCTTTTAAGTGATTGTTATGCCTTTTGAAATTTGAACCAACAATTATATATTCTTTATGTTCTATTTTCTATTCATTGCAATTATTTTAGTACTACATAAATAGGAAATCAATTTTGGATGGAACGAGTATCACATATATAAATGGATATGCAAATGAGAGAAGAAATTAGTGGAGATCGAGATCGAATAGAGGGGTTACTCTCAAAAATAAATCAAATCATTACATTATATTTATGTTGATAACTAGATAATGCCATTAAATTAACACATTTTTTTGAGGCTAGCCTTAATCGTTCTTTACATTGAGTACTATTTTGTTTCTGGTATTTAGTACACAATATCCGGTGAAACTATGAAAAGAGTCTCAAAAAATCCTTAAAAAACATACAATAATATATCTCGACGAGTTTTCTTTGTCCTTTTTTTTTTGACAAAGAATCATTAAGCCCTAGGAGCATATTTGGATGCCATGGAAAGTGGCCAAAGAAAATATTCTTACCTCGGTATGTACATGAAGCTTGGTTTTCGAATTATAGACCCCGTACCTGGTGAGCCAGTTGGTTATTAAGTTTTTTTTTTGGAGAGTGTCCAAGTAAAGAGAAGGAAATGGTTTTCATTCATAATGCTCAACTGTAATTCATACATTTCCTTATAAATAAATTTTTTTATTTTTTTATTTTTTTTGGGTACAAATATATAAATAATTTTAGTAAATCCCAAAAAGTTACAGCAACTAGATTTTACATAATAAAGACAAAAGCAACAGCTATATTCCAGCAATTTCCAGGAAACTCGCCATCACGTAATCAATTCCCTAATTGAAAGATTTAGGCGACCCATTACAAAGACCGGACCAGAACCAGGCTTGGCGCTCAACCAGGCCCATTGCAAAAGGGGGCTGGCAATGCAACAGCCCATCTTGAATTTTTCTCCAGTCTTTTTCTTGAATTTTTTGTATTGATTTTTTTTTCCCTACTACATTTGGTTACTCTTTTTGGATTTTTTAAAATATTTTTTTAACCTTTCAATTGTTCTGGAACTAAGTTTGAAGTTGTCTAAATTTCAAAAAGAATTGGGTTTGAAGGCTTAAAGGGCCAAAAAAGGAGTAAGGAGCAATTTGCTAGCAAAAAATTGGGTTTAAAGTGAGAGTAATTAGCTGGACCGTAAAGAGCAACCATTAAATAATTAGGATAAAAAAAAGGACTTGAGAAGCAATTCTTTACTAACTCTTGCGGACACCTCCACCTTCATTCAATTCCATTAGTGAATCCGTTACCCACTTACCCTCATTTTATTCAGCACACTCTGTCTTTTCACTTTTTCAGAAATATTTCGGCGAAAACACTCCTCTTTTTCCGGCGAAAAAAAAAATGGTCTCCTTCGGCAAGCGTCTCATCACGGACTACGGCAGCTTCTTTTTCCAGACAGCGGCTGTCTTCCCGCTTACTACTGTGGCCTCTTACTACGTGTTCAATTATCTAGCTGCTATCCACCGTGTGCCAACCACTGCTGGATCTGAGTGTCAATCTTCTCTGAAACGCTGGCTATTTACCGTGTGCCAACCAGTGCTGAGATAAAAGAGGATCTGAGTGTCAATTCGTATATTTTTGGGGGGAGAAAGGAATTTTGTGGCGGTGGTTTGTTTCTAAATTCTAACTATGTATGGATTACGATTCCAAATTAGGATTTGGATTTTGAAATCCCACTCTTCCCTAATTGTGTACGTATGTCGGCCCTATTCAGAAGATAATTTGCTGCAAAGTGAGAGTT